CGCAGTTCGAGTCCCAGACTTGGCAGCTTAAACTCACGCCAGGCACGTGTGCATGTCCAAGATCCCGAGAGGAGAATGGAGGAGAAGGGATTGCAGTGTGGCCATCCCCCCTGGGGGGTGATTTCTCGCTTTCTGTCTCTCTGTCTCTCTCTGTCTGTCTGGCGAGCACTCGCACCCTATATCAAAAACCTCCCCCTCCCCCCCCCCAAAAAAAAGATGGCTGGTTCATAAAATGTTCCATTTTGAAGTCCAGGGAAGTAAAAAGACCAGATTTGTGACCAGACACTGTTGTTTCATTGCATCCTTGTTAAGGATCTGATCACCCTTACTTTATCAACTTCTTGCTTTGACCTTACCTGCTTCATTCTAAACAGGGAACACTTCTCAACCTTGCTGTTGTCTGACTTAGAAATGCATAACTTAGTCCATCTCTGTGGTGAAGAGTGCAGACCCCCACTGGCTTTGACTAGCCACAACATGCCGGTACCTTTGTTTCCTCAACTATAAAATGAAAATAGTGGTAGTATCTGGCTCATAGAATTATGTGAGGATTGAATGGAATAATAAATGTTTCTAATGAAGTGCATAGCACATACTAAGCAGGATGTCTAATGGCTTTAAAGGTTCCCAAAACAGAGTCAATATCGTAGTCTTTTATTTCAGATGGATGAGTTTCTGTGTCTACCACCTGTACCCAGCTACCCCTGACTCTCACTTACCTCTTTATTCTGGTCACTCAATGCTGGTCTCAGTTTCCCACCTACTGATTCAGATTTGCCAGCACATTCTCTGAATAATACAGCAGTCACTGTTTGTGCTATATATATTTGTGTTTAATTATATGATGTCATAGTGTTTGTCTAGTTTATGTAGGTGGAAATTTTGCTTTTCCAACTGGGTTGTACTTCAGGAATTTTCATGCACTTTAACACATTATTTCTTTTTCCATAAATATCTTTTTTTTTCTGTAACTTTGCCAGAGGGCACGTACATCAGCTAGAGAGAGATCAAGCAACAGAAAGAGAAGGAAAGTGAGAAAGTACCATCCCCACCCCCTTGGGATATGATCATAATACAATCCCTTCTCATTCACTTTTCTCTCCTTTGGAGATTTTGAGCATGCATAATCCTATGCACACTGTGTTTTTCAAACTATTAGGTCTAGGACTCAAACTGCGTAGTTGGCCATTTGAGATCAAGCTCCTCAACCACCATGCCACGGGTTGGCCCTCCAAAGTATTAATCTTTTACTTCATCTACTCAGCAAACATTTGTATTTATTTTCCATTGTATATATACACTTGGAATACACAGAAGTGACCGCATGGACAAAATCCCTGTATCTTATTTGTAGCAAAGAGAGGGACAATAAGTAATTGAGGCATATTGATAACTGTGGTGTTACTTAATGCTGTTTAGTAAAGCCCTGAGGAAGATAGAGAACAAGTTATGCAGAGTTCTAGGGGAAGAGTTCTAATGTGAAAGCAATAGCAAATGGAAACTTCTTGACTTATTAGAAGCACACCTTGTAGACCACAGTCTAGACCAGAGTTAGTTGGGAGGGAGTGGAAGGAGACAGGTCAGAAAAGGGCGAAGGGACCAGATTACAAAGGGCTTGTTTGGTCACCAGCTGGACTGTTTTTCTGATGAAGGAAATAGGAAGGATTGGAGCTGTTGATGATCTGACTTCAACTCCAAACAGTTAATCCTGTTTATTCTGGGAAGAATGGACTTGGCTACAAGGGATCAAGGGCAAAGGCCAGAGACTCTCAGCCATCACAATAATCCAATTAAAATGACAATTTATTACTACATTTTCCACTTCCTTTTCTGCATGATAGCTATTCATGAATATGCTTTATCATCCTTTCTAAAGTGTAAACTCTGTATTGGCCAGATTTCCAACAGATTTGTATTTTGTAACACTACATTTCTTAAAGCAAGGAATAAAGCCCTTGGTGAATGAAGAGTATAAAAATAAATTGCTACCAGACTTCTCTATTTGCCTCCCCCTGCCCACCTACCCTGTCTGCCCTCGCTCCTGATATGGTTTCTTAGTACAGCACACCCACATCAAGTAGTGTTATAAAGGGAGAAAAATAGTGTGAAGACAGAGAACAAAACTGAAGCAGAGAGGCAGAATAAGCAGGCCTTATTCCCAAGAAATCTTTGTAAAAATGACAAAAATAAACCAAACACATACACACACACCTTTTTTTTTGTATAATTTCATACTTGACCTTAAAACTACATGTATTCTCTCTCTCTCTCTCCCCCCCTCTTTATACACACACACACACACACATATACACATGTGCATATATATGCATACATATAGGTGTATATCCTGCAGTTTTCTATTTATGAAAGAGGAAGCCATGCCTCAATTTTGGTATTCCAAATTTGTAAGATTCCATACATGGTACTTTGAGTTATTTAGATTCTAATTCACAAGTGTCATTTGAGAATACATCTACAGAATTCCAAGAGTAATAAAAAATTAGTATTTTTGTCTTTTGGAGTCTCTTTGAGGATCTTCCAAATATGTATCTTAAAAAGATTTGAGTTACGGCCATTAGTAGTAATGAAATATAGTTAAACAAGTCAAGGAGACACAAAGAGCTCCTTTCCCCCCCATTTTTCACAGTGAAGAATTTAAATTCTATTCTATGACAGCCCCTGATATGTCAGAACAGAATGGTGCTTAAGCTAAGACTAGTGGTTAATCTCTGTGGTCTTCCTAATACCCCAAAATAAAAGTAAAGCTGCCGTTGCCTCTGGGGAAAGGGAAATGCCCAGCAGAATGTTCTAAATCAGACTTTCATGGTAAAATATCCATTAATAATTAATTTTCAGCTTCTTTTAGAATAGGACAGGTTAAGCAGTTGGTCACATTCAGTAAATAAGAAATTACTTGCAATAATTTCTGCAACATTCTAATCATCTTCCCATTTCTGAAACCTATTTTAAAAGTCTTTGATCTACATTATGGTGGAAAGGACATTAAATGTGGAAAGAGAGAACTTGATTATGAATTCAGCCTTGCCACCCACTAATAGTGTGGCTTGGGAAAGTCATTTAACCTAACATCTCCATTTATTTTCTAGTGATGAAGGGCATAGCATTGCAAACCCACTCGGTTGTTATGAGCACCCAATAGGACTAGATGAGAAGGCCAGGAAGGCAGAAGTCACATGATAAACATTCAGTGAACCCAGAGACTAAATGACACATGGAATTACCACGTTCCTATCAGTGTTATTTCAGAGTTCTGCCCTGTATGTAGTAGCACAAATGTGATCGTAATAAAAAAAAGAGATGTGTCCCCTCTGTCTTCTTTCGGCATATTATTAAGAATGGCAATATTCCGCAATTGTTTAATTGTATCATTAGAGAGGGTTTTATTTTCTTCATTAAATACATAGGGGAAAGCGTTTCAATTAATGATGACCTTTACAACTTCTAATAGTTTAGATTCTGTAGATGGTGAAGCTGACTGTAAATTAGATTCTGCAGTGTACCTTATTCCTTACTTTTTCACCCACTGATTAGTTTCATACAGTTGGCAGCAGCCTACCCTGTTGCCTTCAGCTTGCAATTTTGTAGCAATCTCAAACACTGTGTTCAATCCCCCAAGGTGTTCTGTGGAAATGCTGTCAAACTATTTCGATGTATGTGTGTTTTCATTCTGTAGCTGTACTTTGTACTCATTTAAGAAAACCACTCTTTAATTTGTAAGGGAACGTTTTCAGGATGGAACAGAATTCCAGGCTTCAGAAAAATCACTGACATATGACCACCGCCTTCTGTTCTAAATCTTGACTTGCCTCACTTCTATTTTATTCTGTCTACAAAGCTGTATTTTTGAATCTTGTCATCGAATATGACTTGAATAAGTAGTTCAAATTTCGCCTTAACATCTACTAGTTATCATGCCTGCTATCATTACCTGGTTTCGTTTACCTTTCCAGTTAGATCACTCATCACTCTTACTGTGTATCTTATGTACTTCCTTGAAATCTGTAGTGCTCTCTCTCACCTTTCCTGGGTGTTGTCCACATATAGCACCTCTGTCTAGAGTCCCATGTCTTGCACTCCTCATTTCTTCATCTCAGGCATTTTCTTTGTACCCCTAATATGCAGTGAGTCAAGTAACTTGTTTTGTTACCTTACTTAGGATATAATAAAAATCTCACGTTTTTCTTTATAAAAATTGGTTTGCTCAACTGTGTTACTATATTAAAGGTCTTGAGAATAAAAACAATACTTTTTTAAATCCATAAATAATAGGTGCCCCATAAATGCTTCTTGGATAAATTAATTTTTCTCAGAAACTCTATTGGTCAGCTTATTTAAAAGACAGCAATAATTTGCTACTACAAGTATTATATTAGACTTGCTGCATTTACATACGACAGAAATCAGTAAACACAGTTTATAGTTTTATCAGTAAAATGTAGTTTATAGTTCCAGGATATAGGCTGATCACTGTGCAAATGCAGTAATTTTTAAAATAAATACTTACATGATAGTAGTCTGTGTTTTCTGCGTCTGGCACATTATATTCAGAACTGGATTGTCTAAGCTAACTAAACAGATCTTTTCTACGTCTTATAATTTCAAACAAAAATGTGTTTTAATGCAGAAAATGGTTACTTGAACAAACTTAGCTTTGTTTAGATCTATTTTTAGTTCAGATAGAATAAAAGAGGATTTTGACTAACATGGAACTGAAGCACACGTGCATGCACACGTGCGCACACACACACACACACATTCTTAAAACAAAAACCAAAAAACAGTATGTTGCAGGTATTGTTTCACATTTGCATTGAGAATGAAAGATATTTCAGTGTGTTCATGTCTCCTGAGTTTATGTCTGATGTTTACATTTGATGCTGTGCTATTATTCAGCATATGGAAATAACGTTCAGAACAAAGATAATGTTGTCTCTCATTTTCATTTTGATTAATAGTGTTCTGTCTCTGGTAATTTGCAGGTGTTATTTGGAAGATGGAGCCTCAAAGGGTGCCTGGCTGAACCGGTCAAGTATTATTTTTGCGGGAGGCGATAAGTGGTCAGTGGATCCTCGAGTTTCAATTTCAACGTTGAATAAAAGGGACTACAGCCTCCAGATACAGAATGTAGATGTGACAGATGATGGCCCATACACATGTTCTGTTCAGACTCAACATACACCGAGGACAATGCAGGTGCATCTAACTGTGCAAGGTATGCATTATAAATGTGTAATTTTTACGTATCAAAATGACTCAGAAATAATGAACAACTTGAAAGTATGTGGTCATTGTCTTCAGGGATTTAATTTCTTAGATACCATAAAGCATGAAGATTATTATAAGCATATGAACCCCCATTTACAAAGACCAAAAAATATCCATTAGCACCACATTATTATTTTTATATGATTCATTTTGCATTTGTGTTTGAATTGACACATAAAATTGTATAGAATCTATAGTAGTTACATTAAAATACTAGAATTTTTTGAAAGATAGATGGTAACTTTTTTTATTTTTTATTTTTTTTTTTCTGGAGAGATTTTCACTGTAGGGCGCGTGCGCTCGCCAGACAGACAGAGAGAGACATAGAGACAGAAAGCGAGAAATCACCCCCCAGGGGGGATGGTCACGCCGCAATCCCTTCTCCTCCATTCTCCTCTCGGGATCTTGGGCACGCACGCACACGTGCCCGGCGTGAGTTTTAAGCCACCGGGTCTGGGACACAAACCGCGGTCGACTACGTGGGAGTCCAGCGACATAGCCATTACGCTAACTGCTGGTTCCCAAAGATAGATGGTAACTTTTTGAAAACAATCTTCCAAGCCTTCCAACACCATCTCAATCCAACTTTTGTTTACTTTAATTCAAATCACAATAAAAAGTAGCAAAAGCAATATGAAAAAGTATGTGCTCAAAGCTTTATACTTTCATTTACTCTTAGTAGCTCTTATATCATGCTAGCTAACATGATCTCCACATACAAACAGCATTATTGCATTATTTTGTTTTTCTTACATACTAAAACGTAAGAGCATATATACCCCCAGTACAAATACTTTTCAAGAAAAATGCATCTATAATGCTAGGAGAATGGAAAATGTATATTTTTGTCCTGTTACAGTTTTTCTTATGTGTTATAGATTAAACATGTGTTAGTTGTATAGAAATATTATGCTCTATGGGATTCAAAATGGCCTTGCAGTATTTCTAAGTAAAATTAACAACACATGATATGATAATGTGGTGCCAGTGTATGTGCGTTTTATTTATAGCAGGGAATTGAATGAGCAAGTTAGTTGGACTGTCTCTGAGTTAACCCTTCAATAATCCAAGGCCAAAATTTAATTTAGGTATCTGGCTTAAGTATAGAAAAGATGGTTGTTTTATAAATTTATCAACTTAGTTTATTTCCTTAACTACAGGTTAATATGAATTTAAATACAGCATTGTTTATTAGGAAACTTTGGGAAAAGATTACTTTTTAATGAAACAACTTCAGGAGTAAAAAATATACATTGAAGAATAAGAATGAATTTCCTCAATGGTTTTAATTATTACAGATTATTGAAGACCATGGTAATGTTCGATATTAAAAAGTGTCTTAGGAGAATACCGTAAAATTTTTATGAGACTCTATCTTTACTCAGAGATTATTCAGGGACTCCAGAGGGCAGGAGTTTGTCCAACTGCAAAAATTGACATGAGATTACAAGACAAAAACACGTTTTTCTGTTATCCCAGCCTAATCCTGTTCTCTTGTTCAGTTCTGTGCCCTTTGACTTGAGTTTCTAGCTCAAAGATAACAAAACACTTTTACTACCTGAGAAAAGGTGTATTTGGACAACAATATCTGAGTTGCTTTGGTTATAGACATTGCCTGTACATTTTAAACTTGTTAATTTAAATGATATGTTTCTGACTACTAAATATGTATCCTTTTCCTTTTATCCATTCTTTCTTGTTCCATGTTAGGAACATATTTTTAAGTCAAACTGGATATATAAGCCCTGCCCAAGCACATGTTGAATCTCCAAAGGCCTTCTTTATAACTTCCCGTAACATAGAGTGTTTAACACTGTTCACATTTTTAACCATGTGCCTTAATATGGCACTCTCCCCCGCCCCACCCACCACTGGCCATTTGAAAATGGTGAACTTTTGAATAGTTAGAAATATATTTATTGAAGTTTTGGCAGTAAGTTTATTCCGCTAGAAAAAGAAAGGTGATTGAGTCAAATTAAATGCTAAATTTTTTACAGTATTTATGAACATAATTAGTTATTAGTAATTGATTGACATGTGGTCAGTTTTTCAATTACATTAATAAAGACCAGAGGATACATTAATAGGCTTGTCAGTCAACTCAAGAACGAAATAAATGTCATAAAAAGACACACTCACTTAAGCTACCTTTCCTCTCTGCGAACAAAAACAAACTGATGTGACATCTTTTCAGTGTCTAAACCTTGGGTAGATATGGATACTTTTGAAGCACATGCTCTTTGCCTAACAATCTGTCAAGCTTTTAGACACTAAGATAAAGAAATGTAGCAACTGAGGGAAAACTGTATTAATCAATGATGTCAAACATAAATTGGCTGATAAAAATAAAGCTCCTCTTTAATTGTGGCAACTATGTCCTCAAGGGAGCTGTTTTTAAAAAAATCATTTTATAAAGGGAATAATAAAAGTGATATCTTACCAACACAGACACCATGCCTGGGAAATTCATTGGCACTATTGATTTCTTAGAGCTATTAATACTTATGAATGCCATAATAAGGGAGGAAAAACAACGAAGCAGGAGTCAGGAAATCTGGATTCTAACTCTCAATTTTCCTTTATATACTAGGTAATTACCAAGACTCTCTGAACTCTAGTTTTCTCTCTAGACCGGGAAATCTTTAAATCCATGCTAGTAGAAGGCAAAAGGATCAATGACAAAAACAAACACTGTTATTATGCACTTTGATTTAAAAGGCATAAAAAGTAAGTTAAAAAGTACAAACATGTTATAATTTACATTGAGTGCCATGCAAACTAATTTTTACATATAGCCGCTTTTAGTAATTATTCCACAAATATTTTATCTCTCCTTATGTTTTTCTTTCACTAACTGAATCTAACAATCTAAGTACTCTTGGAATTTGAAGACTGTTAAATTTTGAAGTTCTGCTTAAAGAAATTGGAAATAGACAGAATCCTTGAGAAATTTCTTAATTATCTATATAGAATAGGGTGCTGATAAATCAAATTATCTAATTATTCTGTGTTCTAATCATGCAGTGTGATATATACTAAGAACAATCTTCCTTGTTTTGTGAGCACAAAATGTATGAAGCTAAAGATAACTTGTGAAGTCAGAGCTCCCTACAATACGGTAATAGTAGGTAACATGAAATGTAAATGCTACCTACTCAACTATATATGACAGGGATGATTTCTACATTGAGTCCTCCATAACTCTAAAGTCTAGGTTGTTCATAGCGCATTCAGAGATGTCGTGTATTAAGGAAATATATATCGGGCAAGCTAGTGCCATGGTGGTTAAGGTTGCTGGATCCCATGTGGCTGACTGCATGGTTCAAGTCCTAAACCCAGCTGCTTGTAAAACATGCTGGATGCGTGTGTGTGTGTGTGTGTGTGTGTGTGTGTGTGTTAATTCCTGAGAGGCAAATGGAGAAGGAATTGCCGCATGGTCATCCACGAAGCAGGAGTCAGGAAATCTGGATTCTAACTCTCAATTTTCCTTTATATACTAGGTAATTACCAAGACTCTCTGAACTCTAGTTTTCTCTCTAGACCGGGAAATCTTTAAATCCATGCTAGTAGAAGGCAAAAGGATCAATGACAAAAACAAACACTGTTATTATGCACTTTGATTTAAAAGGCATAAAAAGTAAGTTAAAAAGTACAAACATGTTATAATTTACATTGAGTGCCATGCAAACTAATTTTTACATATAGCCGCTTTTAGTAATTATTCCACAAATATTTTATCTCTCCTTATGTTTTTCTTTCACTAACTGAATCTAACAATCTAAGTACTCTTGGAATTTGAAGACTGTTAAATTTTGAAGTTCTGCTTAAAGAAATTGGAAATAGACAGAATCCTTGAGAAATTTCTTAATTATCTATATAGAATAGGGTGCTGATAAATCAAATTATCTAATTATTCTGTGTTCTAATCATGCAGTGTGATATATACTAAGAACAATCTTCCTTGTTTTGTGAGCACAAAATGTATGAAGCTAAAGATAACTTGTGAAGTCAGAGCTCCCTACAATACGGTAATAGTAGGTAACATGAAATGTAAATGCTACCTACTCAACTATATATGACAGGGATGATTTCTACATTGAGTCCTCCATAACTCTAAAGTCTAGGTTGTTCATAGCGCATTCAGAGATGTCGTGTATTAAGGAAATATATATCGGGCAAGCTAGTGCCATGGTGGTTAAGGTTGCTGGATCCCATGTGGCTGACTGCATGGTTCAAGTCCTAAACCCAGCTGCTTGTAAAACATGCTGGATGCGTGTGTGTGTGTGTGTGTGTGTGTGTGTGTGTGTGTGTGTATGTGTGTGTGTGTGTGCCTAAAATCCAAATAGGGAGAAATGAGGAGAAGGAATTGCAGCATAACTGTTTTCCGTAAGTGGGAGGTTTCTCTCTCTCTCTCTCTCTCTCTCTCTCTCTCTCTCTCTCCAGCAAGTGCATGCACTCTCTGGCAAATTATAAGTAAATGTTTATAATCAGTTTGAGTCCTTTTAGGGAAGTATGCTCTATTCTAGATCTTCTCTAGACAGAATAGAAGATTTGACTAGCACATAACTTTATGATCAAAACAACTTCTGAAGCTATTTAATAACTTCTCCAGAGTATTATAATCTCCTTAGGGTATTTTATTTACCTGGAGTATTTGTGATAGAAGGGGTGCTGTGCCTCCTTGCTAAGGATGGCCTTGGTGCTTTAGCTGCTGAAAATTTAGTCAGCAGAAGGATTCAGTGGTCAGTCCTATCGGGGATAGCCTTAGCTTCAGGGAGCCACCTAGCCCAAGGTCAAGTCCAGTATAGAGTAGCCAACATTCAATGCCCAGTTGAGGCAATGGGTTTAAGGATGTCTTCTTTCAGTCTACTGTAAGGTAATTCTAAAGTATCATTTATCTCAAGCATTCTCTCTGCGGGCAACTGAGGCTATTGTCTTTGTTCTTTG